GATTTCACCAAAGGCCTTAATTTGTTAAGCAATATTCCATTATTCTTCTTATCTAAAGGAAGTCTTTCTTCCCAACAAGAGGGAGATCTATTAAGAATTAATCAGCGCTATTGAAATGCAAGATTTTTTTTTTAAATTTTTTTTTTTTTAACTATTCATCTCAGTAACCAATAATATATTTTCATCGTTCATTAATATGCGTATTTAATTTGGGTTTCGTTGATTTTGTTGCCGATACACATACATTTGAAGGTTATGAAGAAAGATTGTTGAATGGCTTTTTGCCAATGATCAGTTGGACTTGAGATATAATAGTGAAGTTTATAAGTTGGAAAGACGAAGATGGTAAAAAATTCAAGTTATATTTGAAACATAATGACATAATGGAAAGAAAAAATTTGGTCTTTAATAGAGTGATTCTCACCCCTCCATTGGGTGTCATCCGTAATTGGGTTCTACAAAGTCCAGTATGTTACATTTTATTTTATACTTTTTTTTTTTTTCGTAAAAAAAAATCGAATCAATCCAATAATTTCTTTTGATTCGGATATTCGAATATCGAATTTCGAATATCAAAATCAATCAATTCGATCGATTTTTATTTTAATATTTTTTTTTTCGTAATTTTTTTTTTTTTTTTATATATTCTTTTCGGATATTTGAAATCAATTTCGATATCCGATATTCGTTTGAAATTATTTTAAAAAACTTTCAAATATTTGAAATGAAATCTGAATATGATAAAGTGATAACTGTTAGTACCTTAAATTGTAAGGCAAACGGACTAATTTAACATCAACAATTATTTATTGCATTACATGTCTACAAAATATGTTAGTAATACCTTATTTAAATCAATACAAAATTTCGGAAATTTCAGGCAAATTTACCACAGCAAATGACATTAGGGAAGTTGTTAAGAAAAATCAGGTTCTGGAAATTTTTAAAATTTATTAGTTTTTTTTCGTTATTAGATTAAAATTTAATTTTAGTCAAAAAAAAAAATCTCTGAACATTTTCTTAGCAATTATCCCATTAATTAAAATTATATGTATATATAAAAGGGGATATTCTAAATACATTAAACGCTTTTAAGGAAAGAAGTTCGATATGTTAAAACCAAAAATAGACCATTATTACCTTTAATAAAATTTAAAGATAATCATTTCTTTTTGATTTTACATGAACTCCATATAGATAGAATATTTAATATGAACTTTAGAAAAAAAAAGTCGACATTCGCTCAACGGATCTAACAATAAAATCATCCTTAGAAGAACATCATGCAATTTTAAATAAAGTTCATAAGTTTCACCATTTTTTGCATGTATGTACAGTATCCAAAGGACCCGAAGCCTTTTGACATAGATCCCTTGGGTAACATCATTCTACTATAAATCTTCTGGTTTATTCCCGCTGCTGTAAGTTTTTGAAAATTGACTCGCTAACTTGTCATATTACTATGCATTATCATTCTAAATAAAAAAAGACCACATCGAACACATCATTATCAAAAATAAATTAAAGTTCACCAACTTTAGAGGGAATGCTTTAAATGAATCTATTTCTCCCGGTACAAACAAAAACTTTTAAATTTCTTATTATTTATTATACTATCATCTAAGATAAATCAACTTATTTCAATTCATACTTAAAATGACACTCACTAAAAGATTCTTCAAAAAAAAAAAATAAAAAATAAAAAATTTATTATTCAACCAAAATCCAAAAATTTTAAAATACCTCAGTTTTAATCCTTGTTCTTTAGAATTAATTCTAGGATAATGGTATGCAATTTAGGGTTGTAAAATCGCATCTCGAACATTGAGGATACTTTGTATCCTCCATTTTCTATTTTTGCGATCATATATATAAATTGATATTTTTAATCTCTTTTTTAATTAATTTCCATTATTGAATTCCAACTTTTATTATAATTTTGATATATTCCGTAAAGAATTAAAATGACTCCATATTTTTCAACCTAGGGGTTTTGTCCTGTCCCAAATTTCATAATTATTAGTTTCTGATGACATATGAACAATTTTTCATTTCGAAATAGAATTTATTTTAAAATTACAATTTAATCGTAACCCTTCTTTTTATTTAAAATTGTGGCAGATCCAGATCGTTAATATTTTACCCCAAAAAAAAAAAATTTTTAATAAAAGGAAATTTACTATTTGTACCGAGAATGTTCGGATCAAAGCAGTTTTGAATTTAAATAAGAAAAAAATCCTTCTAAATTATAATACGAAATTTAATTTTCTTTAAAAGACGAACCCTCATTATTTGCTGGTGGTCTTCGAAGGTACTGTTTACAACGACGTCTTCATAACTTTAGGTCGCGAATATTTCTCAAAGAAAGTAATGATACGAATTATACTGCAGCATGTTAAAAGTAACATACCACTTCACTCATAGCGATAAAAATTGTTTATATTTAAGGTTTAAAGACAAATTGAAACAGAGTATTTAACTTTTTCTAATAAACCGAAACATAAGTTTTGAATATCTAAATTTTCATTGAAAATATGGCATGTTTGAACTTTCGTAATTCACTAGAAAATGGTGTTTTGAATATTTTTAAAAAATGTACCGCACCGCATTTTGGATGGTGGCAAATAATTTGTCATTCTGCAGAAATGTGCATTGTGATTCAGGGTGGTTATCATGATTGACTCACATTTTAATAATGAGCTTGATTGTCAAATAAAAAAAGAATAAAAGTTATAATTTCCAGTTTCAGCTTGACAAGAAAAGTATATAATTTCTTCTATCATTTGTTATTTTTAGGCTTTAATGAACCAAAGGGATTTTACCTTGGACATAAGTTACGGTTTAATAATTATCTGGAAGGATGATAACAACGCAACGATCGTTGGACTTCTCTCAGAATATCACCAGGTATGACTCATTAAAATGTTATCACATAGTTGAGAATATTGATACCTTTTTATTCTTCTTAATAAATTGATTAATATTATTATTAATTTCCAAATTTAAAAAAAGTTATATTTGTAGTTGTAAGTAATCGACGATCCGAACTGCAAATAAACTCTCAATAAGGCTTATTTGTTTATATTTTGTACTCCATTTCACGCATCAATAGAATAAGGAAGGTAATAATAATATTTAACAAAAAACATTTTTATTTTTATTTTATTTTTTAATTTTTTTTAAATAATAAATTTTTTTTTTTTTTTTTTAGATTATATTTCAGAATTTATTTATTTTTTTTTTTTTTAACTTAACATGGAAAAATTAACCAAACGACAATCGATATGGCGTAGTAACGAAAAAGAAAATGAGAAAATTGTTAATCAAAAAGAGATTAAAATGGATAATTTTATGAAAGTTCCTCATGAAATCATGTTAATTATTATGAATTTTCTTGATGGAATTTCATTGTTAAACCTATCCATGGTGCGTTATTATTATTATTATTGATTTCCATTTAAGTTAATCAGACATTATTATTATTATTTGTTTCTTTTGAGGTTAAAAAACAACAAAGTGATTTCATTTCTTTGTTTTGAAATGTAGGCGAATAGGAAGTTAAGATATCATGCGCAAGATAATTTGCTTTGGTTGGAAGTTTGTCTGAGAGAATATCCTGTGAATATGATGGGAATCATTAAAGATAAAAAAAGAACTCTTGTACAAGATTATAAATGGATGGATATTTGGAAGGAATTTGGTAAATATCAAAACTTAAGGTTTTTGAAACAAAGAAAAAAAAAAAAAGATAGAAATTTAGACTTGATTTTCCTTTTAGATCGGAAGAATTATACATTTGTTTTTACTGAGAAAGAAAATTTCGCCATTCCAAATCGTTGGTATGAATCAACCAGGTATGTATAACATAATTCGATTGATCAAATTCGATTATTTCTTCTTTTAAAATACCCTTAAGAAGCTAATTTTTTTTTTTTTTAAAAGTGATGAAAATCACCCAAAAATAATAAAGACAAATCACGAATTTTTTGAGGTAAAAAAAAAAAAAAGATGCAAGAAATCAAAAAAGTTTTTTTTCGTTATTGATCACTAATCAATTCCTTTGAATCCAACAGTTATTTGTGGTTTTCGTATCAATTTATCCGGGAACTTATGAGCTAATTTGGGAAATGAAAATTGGCACGATTCATGAGGGCTGTAATTTTAAATTTAACACCAAAGTGATAGATCACGTAAGCGATTTTCTCAATCATCACCTTTCAATTATTCAATAGAAACGTTACTTACTAATCCTTTACAGAATTGGAATAAAATTTTAAAGACGTATTCATATAAACCCAAACCTGAAGAATTTAAAAAGATGTCCAAACAAGGCTGGTGTAATTTTAAAGTACCGAATAAAATCGTGGTAGAACACGAACAACACGTGAAAACTGAATTTAGAAGATATACAACACTCGAGGAAAATGAAGGCTCCTTGTGGTTTGAATCATTTGTAAGTATCTAGGTTTTTGATTGTTTAAACGACAAAAATTTAATAAAAAATAAAAAAAAAAAAAATTTTTTATTTATTAATTAGGAATTGTATTGTGTACATTTACAAAGATGTACAAACGATGCATTGTCGACTCCTAAAAAAGATCAAACAATGTCAAAAAATATTAAAAGGTTAACCAAAATGCTAAGCTTTTAGCGATGATTAATAACTTTATGTATATTTGAGAAATATCATGTTAAATAGAAATTGTAATTATAGAATTTAATTCATATCATATTTACATAAATCTTAATAATTCATGCCTTAAAATTTTCATTAATCAATTATATTATTAAAATTGTTATAAAATTTATATTATTTTTTTTTTCTAATAATTCTAAATCTAAATCTAATAATTTTCTATTCTTATCTATGTAATAATCTATTAATAAAACCCTTACGTTGTACTTTATTATAATCTATGTCATTTTTGTATCTTTTCAAATATACACAGTACAATGCCTTGAGACGTTTTAAAATTGATATATTAGTCAACACATTCTCCTCAATAATTCGCGAAAAAGAATAAAATCATTAAAGTACCTACCATAGGTGCCGGCCACTCTTGTGGATTGCTAAAACACATTTTGGCATGACCAATGAATTTGGTAGAAATAATTTGATCCTTATCGATGATAATCCTTTTGGGTGCTCTATATTTAAACCATCCTTTATCTGAAATTTTTTTAAATGCTTCCGGGGGCGGATTGTAAGAGTATTCCTTTAAATCATAATTCTACAATAATAGACGTCCATGGAAAAGGTTAAGGTTGACAATTATGTTATAAAGTAGATTATGTATTTGAACTTTATTCACCTTGTGGAAGATTTTGGTTACAAATTGAAATTTTTGAGCCTTTTGTAAATTGTAAATGTTCATTTCCCATACAACTTCATAAATTCCGGGTGAAATGGATTCAAATTTAACATCCATCTATCAAAAAAAAAAAAAAAAAAGAGATCGTTAATTGTTAAATTTTACAAAGTGTAATAAGTAAGGATGTTAATAAAATGCAACCTACTTCAAAAGATTCTTGGATCGCTCTTACGATTTTTAGATGTGCGTGGTCGCTAAATGGAAATATTTATTTATTTATTTATTTTTATTGAACACAAAAATCGTCAAAATGTATCGGATGAGGAATAATGAGATAATTTACGTTTTTATATCCGAGAATTGACCGAATTTTGGGAACCATCCGCAACTTACTAATTCTTTTGCCTCAATATTTTCGGCAAATACTATCGTGTGATTCTTCCAATCTAACCGATTTTCATATGTTAACCATAGAAAGAAAAGTAAAGAAGAGAAAAGAAAATCAAAACTTTTGCCTAAAAGTCATGTCACTTACATAATTTTCTAAATATTTTCATCCAATCTTTTGTTTGTCCAAATTTACTTTCATTTGATTTATTAGATAGATTATCGGGGAAATACAATAAACATAACTTGTACCATAGAAAGTTGTCTTTTGCATGATATCGCAATTTTCTGTTTACCTATTTTATACGTAAAAAAAAAAAAAATAATAATAATAAATTAAACTAATTAACAAAAACTGGCAAATATTGAAACAAAAAAAAAAAACTTACCCTGGATAAAGCAGAAATATCGTGGGCGTTATAATCCAAATGTTTTATGATTATTAATACTATTTCATGCGGTATATTTGTGAAAACATTGACATGATGTTTGCTGCGCCACCGTTTTACTGAACGTATAATTTTTTGCATTTGATCGGGAAATAAAAAAGGGTCAAGGGAATTTGTATTTTTTATTATTCTTAATTTTTTTTTTTTCGTTGCCGAAAATTCTTTTTTGAGAATGAAAAAGTTGGTGAAAAAAATAAAAAAAAAAAAATCCCAGCGATTTTTCACAAACTTTCAATGTAATTTTACTACAGCATGAGTGAAAAGATATTAGAAATTTAGGAGGTACAATTAAGTAAATTTGTTGTATTTATTTAGAATTTAATCAACACGACACGTACATAACAACGTGATTAGCTGACACACAAAAAATAATAATAAAAAAAAAATAATAAATTATTCGAAGGGGAGATAACTCCCTATAAATTAAAGTTTCATTCTAAAAAAAAAAAATTAATGTTACACCACCACAAAAATTTAAAAATTGTAAAATATAATTAATACCTTGAATATCGGATGGTTTTTTTTTTGTTCGAATAGGTATATATTTGGTATATAACAAAGGATATTAAGAGAGGTTTTTTATTTTATTTTTTTATTGATAATTTCATAATATACATAATAATGCATGTAAATCTCAAAACGAGATTCATTTCAATTCATAAATAAAAATACTTATTTACATATTTATTTGGAACTTCTTTCTCTTTAATGGTAATTTACCTTCAAAATTTTCTTCATTAAAAATTTCCAAAAAAGGGTTGGCTTTGTTGACATCACAACAAAAGAATTAAACAATTTCGAGATGTTGCAATTTTTTTTACCAATGCAATTTTGCAAATTACACACCACATAAGATGCTGCTCCTTTGTCGTAAATAATTATCCGATCACCGTGCACTTCCTCCGCATGGTTCCCATCTTTGAGATTGCATTAAACTGCGAAATTATCCTTAAAAGTAAAGATGTAAAAACGCTTAACCGACAATTTAGCCATGAAAAAAAAAAGGGGCGGCGTGTATTGTATTTGTCGTGTGATCAACAATTAAAAACTGGTGATCCTGTCCGGAACACGTTACACGTGATGGATAACGTTTGGCCAATCAAATTTCAGGTCGGAAAACGATTATTTGATTATTAATATAATGATTATTATTTTAACCCTTCTCTTTTTTTTTTTTTTTTTTTACCTAAACGTAAAAAATTTTTTTTAACATTCGACAACGACTATAAATTTTAGTTGTGGCTTACGTTGTGCGACATAACATGATCTTATCATGATTACACTAATAAATAGGAGGTTATATTATTCGCACATGCAACACAAAAAAGTTTTTTTTTCCTTTTTTTTCCTCTCCATAATTTTTTTTTCTTTGTAAAATATCAACATTTTTTTTTTTTTTTTTCTTTCTTTTATATATATATTATTTTATTCATGATGAAATTATCAGCAAAGTTATGGCAAAGTGTTGCCAAGAATTATGCAAAACTTCTCGAAGAAGAAGAAACTAGTGATGTATCTATAACTGTTGGAAGTGGTGAAGATGTAAAAACATTTTATGCACACTCATTAATCTTGCGAACTCAAACACCTTATTTTCATACTGCTTTGTCAGCTCAATGGGGAAAAAGGGAGGGAGATAAAATGTTCTTATCAAAACCAAATGTCACACCTGCGATATTTGAAGATATTCTCAAGTAAATAATATAAAACAAACAAATAAAATAACGAAGAAATCTTATTTTCATTTTTCATGTAACAAATAGAAATGCCTTTCTTACAATTGTCTAAATTGAAATTATTTTTTTATTTATTTTTTTAGGTTCATGTATTCGAGTGAATTAAAGTTAGATGATAAAGATGTTCAACACTTGCTTGGTCTATTGTCTGCTTCTGATGAATTGATCCTTCCGACACTTTCCGAACATGTTCAAAAATATCTTGCATCACATCAAGCATCATGGATAAAGGAACATCCATTAGAAACGTTAAATGCCGCGTTTCAACATGAAACTTGGAAAGAATTACAAAACTGTTGTGTTTCAACAATATGTACGAATCCTTGGATGCTTTTTGAAACTCCTCATTTTTATCACTTGGATGAGACAATTCTTTTATCCATAATTAAAAAAGATGAATTGCAAATGGAAGAATCAGATATTTGGTATCATATACTTACTTGGGGGATTATGCAACATACAGATTTGCCTGACGACCTTAATGATTATACTGATGAAGATTTTAATAATTTGAAAAAAACTCTATCAAAATTTTTGCCCGTTATACGATTTTTTAATATGTCTTCGGAAGATTTCGATACTAAAGTTTCTCCATATCGAAAAATATTTCCTGATGATTTGTATGAAGATATCCTTTGGCATTTCATAAAACCTGACCGCCCAAAGAAATATGTTTCTTCTATACTTCCAAAGCGTCATCATCCTTACGCTAGTGGGAACTTTTTCAAATGTAAATCATCTCATTATTTGTGAAAAGATTTGTCATCAATTTTTTTTTAAAAATTTTTTTTTCATTTAGCAAATTATGGCAAAATCGCTGCATATCGAGCTTCTTTGTCAAAATATGGTATGAATTTACCGAAAATTTTGTTTCTTTTCAGTATTTTCCAATTTCTTGACAACAATTTTTTTACTTTGATTTTCTAAGCTACAACAAGACCAAATGGATTTAAAAGAGTGATTATTGGGCCGTAGGATTTTAATGGTGAGTATCTCAATTTACTGTTTTTTACAATTTTTGTAATTACTAATTTACGTAAATAAAAAAGTTGGAATTGGCAATGACTTTTGCTAAATATCTTGTTAAAAAGTCAATAGTAGGATTAAGAGGTCATTTGATTTTTCGAGGTATGATATTATTTTATCATACTTTGAAAAAAATTATTCATCAGAAAATAATGATCTAATTAAAAAAATATCATTTTCAAGAAAAGAAAATGTAACAGATATAGGGACATTGGGAAATTTTTGATATTATTCATAAAAATCAAAAAAAAAAGAGGATTTTGGTGAAAAGTTATTCGGGAATTTTAGAATAAAGGAGAAATAAAAAGGAAAATATGGAAATTTTAATTGAACAAGAAAGTAAATACGAAAATTCATTATTTTGTGTGATTTTCTCTTTAAATATTCATATAGTGATTTATTGAAAACGCACAAATAAATTTCTTATTATACCTCTTGAAATTTTTGTCTCTTTTTATAATTCATCTTTCAGGACTTTAGTAAATAAATGTACCTAGACCTAGATAAAATTTTAAGAAAAAACTATGGAATAGAAAATTCTATTCGGACCAGTTCTTAAAAAAAACAAAATTCTTCCGGATATATTTAGAATTAATGTTTGAAGAAATAAGAAATTTTTAATTTGCGTATAAACTTAAATGGAATTATTTCATTATTGTACACGTGATCACAACGTATATACAGTCTGATTTTCACATGATAATTATGTAAAAAACAAAACAATAAACAAATATATAAATTTTGATGAATTAAAAAACTCTCAAGGTATCAAATAGAAGCAAATTTCTAAAATGCAATAAATTGGGTATCGAAAAGTTATCAGGAACAGAAAATTCTGTTTAATAGAATATAATGCCGGGAATATATTTTTTGAACAGGTCCGGGCTCATATTGTTACACGAATTTATAGTCAAGTCGGCAGAAAAAAAAAATAATAAGAGGCTCCTCATGATCGATCTTAAGTTTTTATGGGATTGTGAAACACTTGAAAAATATTAAATAAAATAAAAAACCTTATTTAATCAAAAAAAAAAAAAAAAAAAAAAAAAAAAATTATTCCTTCTAAATTTTTTTTTGGAAAGGTGAATTTTTTTTTTTTTTTTTTTCGATTGTATTGCGTAATTATTTAAACGTCCATATGTAGTTAGATTAATTACAATCTTGTTTCGTTACTTGCTTTTTCTGATTTCAAATCTTTGTATTATGTTAACATCAATTATTTTCATGTACATTAAAAAAAAGTTGAAAAATTTCTTCTTTTCGTTTAATAATCCAAAATTTCCTGATTTGTTACTCTATAACGAAATTCTGCATAAACGCATCATTAGCTTATGAAAATGGATTCTGAAAATAATACATCATCTAATAACATTCTTACTCAACCAAAACCACCGACGCCCATCCCAACACCAACTCCAACATCATATTCTTCAACGTATACGATCAACACGAATACGATTTCTCACTCTCAAAAGGCCAAAATGTTGACTTTATGGGTTCATCCGGATCTGTTTCCTAAACAAGATTTTATATTGAACCCCGATTTCGTCCCCGGAACAAAACCTGGACAATTATTAGAAATTTATCATTCTAATGAAGTGTCTGATGTTACCAAACATTTAATCGTTAAAGTTGGTCTCTTTGACAAGGAGAATATTGGTAAAGAAAGACCGATTTTACAGGTAATTCTTATTAATTTTTATTTTAAAAAAAAAGGTCATCATAATGATTTATTTGATTATTCATCTTTTTATTTTTTAAAAAAAAGAAAACCTTTTTTAAAGATAAATTAATTTTTTTTTTCTTTTCATTTATTTTAAATAGATTTCATTGGCAAGTCATATTGCAAATGTATTTGGATTTAAGACAAGGACGAACGTTTTTGTAAGAGAGGTAAGTGAAATACACTCTTATATTATTGTAAGATGCAATCTCTAATTTCCCCTCTTTTCGAGGAATGTAGGTCGATGAGGAATCAGTTACGGCAGATTATGTAGAATTTTCATTTAGGGATCAATATATTGGTAGAAGTGATATGTGGCGTTTGAGCAGAAGTCTTTATCGTACATGTGTATATATAGGAAAAAGGATAGAATTCGCGGGATGCATAAGAGCTCAGGTGAAGAAGATTTACGTTAAAGGAGAACAATCATCATGCGGGTATATCACGGAAAATACAAAACCTATATTTAGATCGGAATCGGCAAAATTATTTATCTTTATACAAATGTCAAGGGAAATGTGGGAATTTGATGAAGATGGGGAATTATATTATGAGAAAGCGATTGATGGATTTTTTACGGAATTATTTCAACGTTGGAAGGATTTAGGTACAAATCATGTGGTATCCATAGTTTTATTTACAAGAATATTTTATGAATATGAAGACTTGGTAAATGATCCTGAATTAAAAGATGATGAAACACTTAAAAAAAATCCTGAAGGAAAATGGTATAAAGATTTTTATAAGGTTATCATTGATTGGGAGATAAGAGCTGAATGGAGTTTCGTACTTCAATTACTCAAACAAGAACTTTTACAATATCAATCAAATATTTTATTAAGAGAGAGTAAGACTCCGGATGGTGAATCGATCAAAATCTTGTTGGGAAAAAATTCTTATGCTTTTGAAGGAAATATATTAGAGGCCATCAATTTAGCATTAAATCCGTTTGATAGGCATTACGTTGATAGAGATTTATTACGTACCGGATTATCAGTCATCATAATAACTCCGGGATGTGGTAGATTTGAAGTTGACAAGAAGCATTTACGTATAACAACGGAACGTATGATTGATAATGGTATCGGTTTAGACCTCGTTTGCCTTTCAAAAATTCCTCTTCATTCCGTTCCCTTATTTGAATTTAAATCACAAGAATTATCAAAGGCTCCACCACCAGATTGGTGGGATCAGAACAATAGATTTGGTAATAAATCTTCCTTATCCCAATCAAAAGATTTAAAGTTAGAATTAAGAGATCCGTTAGACTACGATGAAAATCCAATCGATGCAAATCATACGTATTATATAACCCCTGATTGGATTGACTGTAGTTTTTATTCTAGACATCAAGATAAACCTTTTAAACCTGATAAATTTACTACGAGGTGTAAAATGTATGAAATTCAAATGATGGGAATTATGGAACATGAAATTTCCTCCATCATCATTCCTTATTTAGAAAATGACTCTCGTTTTTCCGCTAATTCTTCTTCTTCTTCCTCCTCTAATAATGAATTCGATTATGATGCTTATGATGATAGTATCTTTTATTCTTTAAAATCAAAACAAATCGGATTTTCTCTGCAACAACAAGCATCTCATGATTCTTTAATGGGTCGTTTAATAGATTTACGTCGTTCCCATGATGATTGTATGATCTCCATGCCTGTAAAGGGCAATTCCAATGAATTCTCAAGAAGTTTACCAAAAACAATCGCTCCAAATCTAATGATTGAATCTCCTTCCAAGGGAAATTCTTTTCCCTTAAAATCAAATCGATTATCTGGTACCAATTTAAATTTGATGGAAGGAAATACTTTACACCCCCCGACAAATTCAATGATAAACAAAGGTTTATATTCAAGATCTCATTCACAAATTGCATATGGGCATGATAGTGGTGGTAGTTATCATGAAGGAAATCTTAAGATTAACGAACCGATCGAAGAAGATGAAGGTACTTTTTTAACTTCAAGCACCAAACCTATATCAATAAAATCTTCATCACGTTACTACCAGAGACATGCTGGAGATTCTCCACAATCACCAAAGGGAAGTTTTGTCGATGGATCTTATTGCAGTGAAAAAGGAAGATACTTTTTTAAACAATCCCCGGGGAAATTTGTTTCTTCTCGTCAAAATTCACGTCAGACTTTGATTAACCCTTGTAATCCTTCAAAATCTCAACATCGTCACGGAATGAGTATACACCTTCGTAGGTGGGAACATGTATTTCCAAAACATTTATCAATAAATACAATGAAATGGAATTCTTTATGCACTCCTGCTTGCCTTCCTTTGACAACTGATTATTGTCCCCCATTTAATGAACATGGAGCATATGAAGAGCATGCTTATACGATCTCTATTGATTCCGATGTTTTCACAATGAATCAAGAGAATAATAATAATGTCACGGAAGAAAGCAAAACGGAAGTTTTATTAAACGAAATTATCTCCCAACGATTATCTCAGGGATATCAATTGATCGTTTCAAATGGTTGTATCGTTGATAACACTTCAAAGGTCGTCAACCCTTCGGATAATTTCTCAAGGAGTCCTGAGATCAAATCACAAATTTGGAAAGATCAATCATTCCCAACGTCAAACCAATATTATCTTAGTATGGGACGTCACGTTCACCAATTGACTTATGATCCTTCAGGGCCAACCATTGAGGTCAAAAGATACGTACGAAAGATTCAATACGAATCAACACCAATCCCATATACTTGTGTTGTTTGGCCTAAATGTCAAAAATCTTATGAACCTAGAACTGTAAAGTTTACTTATCCACATATAGATTATAAATGGAATTATGTGGATCAATTGGTTTGTGGATATCAGGATGTTCTCTTGGAGCCTTTAGTTTTAGAACCCTTAAAATTCTGGAGGACAAGATTCATTTTAATTCCAACGGAATCTGTTCCCGCTAATCAATTAAAGACGGGAAATGAACAATTTGATGAGGAGGAAGTTCGAATAAATGGTGTTTATAAATTTCTTGAACTTTTTGATAAAGCCCTTTCGCATGACAAAATGGAAACTAATATTGACAATAAGAAAGAAAGTCAAACTCCGCACCTGAAACCAACAACCGATGATTTATCAATTTTTGTTATTACTCCTGAAGGGTTATATCCAAGAAGATCATCGGTACATCCGACAGATGAGAGACTTACAAAAGATTCCAAGTTGGATAAAATTGCTCATGCAATGATGAATCCCGCAACAGGGATCGTTAAGGATCGTCGATGGCGTTTTAGGTCATATCAAAATGCGATCATTGGAAACGAATTTGTTGATTGGTTAATAAATAAATTTCCGGATATTGAGACTCGAGCTGACGCTGTCGCATTCGGTAATGATCTATTAGACAGAGGATTATATGAACATTGTACAAGAAGGCATCGATTTTTAGATGGATATTATTTTTATCAAATTAAAGAAGATTACGCACCTAGAAGACAGACCAAAGGATGGTTCGGAACTTCCAAGACGAAGAACACGACAAAAGATTCCGAAAAAGTCGAAGAGATCATTCCTACCACTTTAAATCAACCAAGAAAACCACAAAAAATTGAATTCACAAAAGCCATGCATATTGATATTGATCCGGCAAAGAAGAGTGACAGAAGAGAAACGGCAACATTACATTATGACGTTATTTACAATGTGGAAAATTGTTATCACTTTCAATTAAATTGGCTCGGATGTACCGCGAGGTTAATTGAAGAATTATTACAACAATGGAGCAGAAATGCCGAAAAGTATGGGTTGAAATTGGTTGAAACACCCGTTGAACAGGCCATGAGTTTAACAGATAATAATCCATTTCAATCCCCAACGTCAATAAAATTATCAGTTTTACCGCCTACATTAGAAAAGTTGGGAAAGAAATTAAGCCCTGAAATTAATCCAAATTTATACTTTGAAATTCAATTAGTTAAACATTTTAAATTTATATTGGATGTGGAAGCCGATAATCGATTTCCAAAAGAAGTTGAAATCATTTATTCTTATCATAAAACTCCATATAAATATTCTCAATATATTCATAGGTCCGGTGTTGCTTTTATACAAATTTGTGATCCCGGTGAAGGTTTCTTATGGGTTAACAATAGAATATATACTACTCATACGTCGTCCTCTTTATCTGCCAATAAAAATCCTTTCAACTTTGCGCCTAATCCCGATCAATTGTTATCAGAATTCCAAAATTTTTGTAATAATGAAACGGCTTTAAAAAAATTTTGGGATGACGTTGCTAATAGTATTGAAGATTATAAACCTCAAGGTGATTTTAACGAAGGGGAAGAAACACCAATAGATGTTTTGCAAACTCCTAATATTATAGAAACTCAATGTTCAGATATTAAAATAATGGATAATTAAAGGGAAAGTTTCATTTTATGTAGAAGTTTAATTTAATATATATACGGTATATATAATTCTCTTCATTTATTATCATCGTCTTGGAATATAATTTTACTACATCTGTTTAAGTCACATCATATGAGTTCGTTTTATATATCGATCTTTTGATGATTTGTTCTCTGAGCCAGTGTAAAGTATTGGTTTTATATTTAATTATTGAAGAGTATATTATGATTGTATTATCGCAATGTACATTATTTTTTAGTAAATGTCATACTATTCTGGTTCAGTACAAATAACAATAAACCCAAACGCCCTCTATATTAAATTATCGATATTAGTTAAAAATGCGCGTTCCTTTCGTACAACTTACCTGAACATGTGAGAAGATTCGTTACAGTAAAAAGAGCAATTGACGCTTCGTTCTATTGTTAATTCAAGATCTTTTAGTGTGCACCCTTTTTTAGGTAAAGTATTCAGGCCTCAAAGTTTCGATTATGTCAGCAATGGCCTAAAGCCTAATAAAAACGGTATTTCATAGAAAAGTGATTTTCGATCGTCAAATTAGCTTTTTTTTTTGGAGTACACGTCGTTCAAAATATGACTTTTAACATACTATTTATTATATCTACAAAACCCATCATATTATGACTTTATTTATTACAAAAAAAAACAGAACAATGGAGCATTTTCAAGCAAAAAAAAAAAAAATTGTTACAAAGTCCTTTATTAAGTAAAATATGGACCCAAGTTAATCTTTGGTGAATGATTATCAGAGATGTTTGCGAAACATTAACGCTACTGTTAATCTAATCTTTATTTCAATATATGATGAAATTTTATTCATTTAATCAAGTTTTTCCTTCATAATCATTTTTCATTTCTGGCAAAACGGTATTGCAGAGATTTATTTGTATGTATTATGGTACGACCATTGCTTGAACCTATATATTGACAAGGGCAAGGGCAATGGAAATCGAACTTCCGATTTCGAATTTTCTATGTTTTCATTCTAAAGGATCTTACTTATTCCGCTCACGAACTCCAGACCTCTGGAAGCTGCAAGAAAATAAACATTTAATAAAAAACTAAAGCTCCGATATTTGTAGGGAAATATTCTGACTGCTAAACTAATGGAAATCATTGCGACTTTACCAATGACTCAGGACATGAGACAATTGTTCTATTCTGGTCTAAAGGCTTCTTATTCCCTATTTCCCTATTGAACCATACGTATAAAATATGATAATATGACCAAACATTTATCATTTTGTAATTCCGGAGATTTTTATTGCTTAGATCGGGATCAGTGTGTTAAATTTTTCTTTCTTTCTAATTAAAGAAAATCACTTACCTTTGTCAATTCCGGAAATCAACTATTGGAACAGAGATTTAGTGAGTGTTTGTTTATTTAAAAAAAAAAAAATTTAAAGTAAGCTAATCAAACGCTTACTTGTTTACAAGATAGATAACATTGTTTTGTCTTTTTGTAGATTCATCTATTTGTTATATTACAGAAAGATTAATAAAACTGATCATTTGTAAATTTTAAGAGGTCACAGGCAACTATAGACGATTTTATTTCTTCTGGCTGGTTAGACATAGCATCACTTTATGTCTGCTCAATTGGCATTTATGGTGCAGGATCTGGAGAACTTGCAAAATATTCAACAATCACATGCTATAATGATATTAATCTTGTCACAAGTAGCACTTAGAGAAATGTACTGGTTCATTCCTTAGTTCCACTTCAAGCATTCAGAAGAACTTCTCCATTCAATTGTAAAGAAAGCATTGGTAGCAATAAAAGTTATTATTCCGCAGTATAACTGCAATATGGAATTTTTTTATTTATATCAATAAAGCAAAGGCGCATTAGGTTATCAATTATTAGCATATGTTGAGAAAAGTATAGGATTATGTTTGTATGCTAATATTTTTCTCAAAATTATAATAAAGTTTGTGTCACATCAGAAAAGAAAAGGTTGTCTCTTATTGCATCTCTTTGTGGTTGTTTTTTAAGAACAGTATAATTATTTCACTGTGCTAGTTGAAATCATCGATATAAATATTGAGTATTATGATCTTTAAGGCTATATCTTCTTTTAGATTAAAATGACACATTATGATGTAAAGAAGAATAAATAGCACAAAGTTTTTTCTTTAAGTTAATCCATTTGAGACACTTTCTGTTAAGAGAAAGGTCAGTGATCATTTTGACAACTTCACATAGGTAAGCTGATGAAAAATAAAAATACACGTGTTGAAAATAGTTATATAGTTAACTTTCTATAAATGCATCCTATATAAATGCACACCCTTTTTAAATAAAATACTTAACTCAGTTCTGAGTTGAGGAATTAATGCTAAATTCACCCTTTTCTCTATACATCATGCAATAATTTTCCAATTCTGTATATATAAAATTTTTTATATAAATATACTCACATAATTATATGATTATAGTCTCGATCAAAATTATAAATTATCTAATAAAATAAAGTATAGATTAATCATAATATAACTATAAATAATATAATATATCACATTATGTATCACACTGCTATATATTATTATGTAACATGTTGTAGCTACAGTAATGCTGTAATGTTGCAGTTTACACTTATATTCTAAGAAAGTCTGAAAGTCTAAGGATCTAAGAATGCCGTTTCTAAAAAAAAAAAGAGGAAAAGAGAGGAAAAAGAGGGAAAGAGAAAATACAAAAAAAAAAATTTTAAAAAAGTAAACTATATTAGCTTAGCATAGTTAATCGTTTTAATTTTTATGCATATAATTAAAAGATGATAGGCATAATATGTATATATCTCCAATCGATTATTTATATTTTTCTATAAATACACTCCTTGTATAAATACACATTTTTGTTTAGTCCTGAGGAAAGTGCATTTATAGAAAGTTGACTGTAATTAGATTTAGCACAAGGAATGATCTATACAGAAGTTTCTATCATTTGTTTAAGATTAGATAGGTTACATACAGTAGTATTTCTAGATAAATTAGTAATATAAATGAAGTGTTTGAATCTTTCTTAGATAATGCTACAATCAGCATCATACTTGTGAAACCTATTCATATCATTAAGCAAAAAATACCATCTCTTTTGTTAAGTTCAGTAAAATTGGCATTTTTATCAAAAGTAATAATAGCACATTGCCAAAGGTTACTAGTTTGTAATAGCCAAATCCTCTCCTACTGTCTTTCTTTTGTTTTCTTGAAAGTGATATTTTTAACTTAAGTTAGATTTGATTTAGAGAAGTATAGGATCAATCTTCTTTAAAATAGATTTCTTTTCTTTACAAGATTTTCATTTTTCTTCTTGATTTGTATTTTATTTTTTATATTTTACTTTTATTATAATAAAGATAATGTAAAACTATTACAAAAAATTATTTATTTTAACAATAGATTGGCAATCATAGTTTAATTGACAAAAATTGAGCTTCTATTGTAAGTTATACTGCAATAGCCACAGGTTCAAGTCTTAGCTGAAACAAAAAACTGGATGATTTTCTTAAAAATTTCATATATAACTAAATATATGGTTATATATGCTAATATGCATTTATAACTGGTTGATCAATCTATTGATCAGCATTAATTATACTTAAATATTAAATTTTGAAAAACAAGTGAATGCAAATAAAGCTAGAAATTGACAAAAACTTAGCTTTCACTAATAAATCTGTAATGAATACTGTTTTACATCTTTAAACTTAGGGTCTTTATACAAGTGATGAAGTGATTAACCAGTAATAAGTAGATTATATACTCTAAAAAAAGGCTATAGTAAAAATAGACTGCATTGCATTACCATAGCACTATCTAATTAAACTATTATTTAGGGTAGCTGTATTCAATTCTTAGGTAATTTTGATAATATAAGTACAACAGTCACCTATCTTTCTGAGATTCTAAGGATGATAATATTTAAGCCTTTCTAATCATGTATAATATATCCTAATATTAGGTAGAGGTAATAGTAATTCTAATTAGCATTGGTAAGTATAGGAAAAAAAGTGACGTAAAGTACCTGTAGCTGAAAGTGATCACTCTATTTAAATTTGATAGTAGTTCTGAGATCTAAAAACCCTATGGATTCACTTTTAGGGATGTCATATAGGTAGCAAGCTTTAGATTAGTATTATGTGAACAGTTCTGATCAACATTTATCTAGCCATGATCTTAAGAATCTAATAATTGATGTATAGGAATTACTTGTAATCCTAAATTGTACAACAGTTACTTTACAGATTTCTAGTGCTTTGGGTACTAAAACTATAAAAAAAATTATTCATTTTAATAATAAAAAACTCTTTTTGCTTTACACTAAAAGGATCAAAAATAACGGAAGCAAGAAAATCAATCACGGTCACTCAGTATCATCAGTTAGTAATAAACAATCAGCCAAGAAACAAAATACAATCCAGATAGTTAAGATAATTGAAGCAACAACTTCTTATAGTATTCTTTCAAATAAACAAAATACTGAAAATGATATAAAAGTTGACAACACTTCAGTTATGACTCCTCTTCCAACTGATATAGGAAAGGATAAAGATGTCTTTATACTCAAAAATGACATCACTATTAATAATATAAATGTCGATGATAGCTCTGACCCAACTGATAATAGTATTAGTTCAAACAAAGATATTTTCACCTTTACTAAACCAAAACTGTTGCAAATATTTTTTGCGTATTATTCATTTGAAAAATACAAAAACACTATTTTCTAACAGAAAATCACTAATATTGTTGATTAATACTGCATGAATCTCCTCAGCTTTTCAGAAGTCACATATGAAAAATCTCTCATAGATTATGTACAAACAATACTTAAAGTTGCCTTTTTAGAATAAGAAAAATCTGATAATTTCTGGACAATGTCATGTTTCTTTCTTTAATAATAAAATGTCAGACCCCTTATATATCTGAATTTTCTATCATGGTAACTAAAATTCCTTTGGATGCTATAGAGTTATAATTAAAGAAACTGTGTTTTAAATATTAAAATATCACCAGAATCAATATGAAAACTTGTAACTTATGGCAAAGAGCAACCATTACCTATAATAAAAATGCTAACTTTACAGATCTTAATAAAAGAGACAATATCTTTTTATTGAATGATATGATACGTTTCCATAAATGTGACACTTCTTATAATATCATACAAGAAAAATCTAAATATTCGATTAAACTCACCAATCTTCTTAGAAATACCACTGCACGTGATCTTACAGATTTAAGACGTATGTTAAAAGTCTTCACTTGGATCATTCTTCATATTAGATCAAATTATAACTATCTTCAGTATGCCTATTTCTTCTTTCCATCTGCAGAACTCTGTAAATCTGTTAAAGCTATCTTTAATCTTTCCTTAAATAGAAAACACTTAGAATAAACTGACTCAAAAAAAAATTATATGCTATTTATTCATCATTTTACCATAACGCATCAACCTGTTCTAAAAGAAGACAAAATCTAAAGACTAAAATATGCAACACCTTTATCAACAGTTTCAGCTTACCCAATTTACTAATTATACTATGTTAAAGAAACAGCCTCAAAGAAGTGCAATATGCGATAATATTACATTTGTAAACACTATCAAATCTAAACTTACAGAAAATAGACAAAATATAGATAAAAGTAATCCTCAATATCTACCTAAACTACCATCCTCTAATAACAATACTACTGAAAAACTACTTTCCCAACAAACTGGTAATCATTTAACAGATAATTTGCATGATAATATGGAATTTAAAATATATGATAAATATCAAAGTACTTATACCAACCCTATAGCATCACTAAAGATAATAAACTTTCTAAAGGCAAAGCTCAAGGTAAATCAATGCATTGATTCTCATTACCTAACAACTTGCAAATCTTATCTCAATAATTACATTTTTTTAAGAAAGACTTAGTACGTTAGAAAAGCTTTAGATATTCAAATAATTATCCTTACAGAAACTGATGCACATAACTAAACTTTACTTCCTGAAACTTTACCAGTAAATGAAAAGTTTCTATATATTAACATCTTTAGAAGCTTTATTCCATTCCAAAAGAAAACTAATAAGCAACTAATTATGATTTGTCAACAGTAACAATAATGCATCTCATCTTTTACCATTATTATCAACAACTTATCTAATAAATGTGCTAATTTTCAATAAGTTCTAATAAATAAAGGCTTCTTAAGTTTAAATAATGCTCATACTTTCCTTTCAATTGCTAACACTTTAGATAAACAAATATAAAGCTGTCTCAGTAGATTTCTATACTAAATTAACATTCATAATAATTACTATTCCTACCATAAATATTACTTTTACAAATAATAATTCATCCTTAATTATAATAATACCTAACATTAATATTGCTTCTCATAATATTTGATCTTTTTATAATTCTATTAAATAACAATATTTAATATCTTACTACACAACAAATGATTTAAATATTATTGATCTTCAAGAAACCAACTTTACATCTAATTTATCCCTTCTTTTTAATCAATCGTTTCTAAAATTTACCTTATTCTTCAGTACAAATTAAGAGAACCAATCTATCAAGTTTGATGTTAGCATCTCTTTTAGCTCACAACTAGCCAAACATATTTTCAAATATGAATTAATTAGATCATATTATTTATGCTAAATTACAGTTTTCTAATAAATAAAATTCCTTATTATAAACATTTACTTCCTATTAAAAGGATCTAAAAGCTTTTTACAAATAACTACAGTCTTAGATAAATACTCTCCTTTTAAAAACTACCAGGATGATTACTATATCATATTATTAGGAGATTTTAATGCAAATTTCATTCATTTTGCAAATCCCTCTCACACAATCTAATACAGAAATTCATTATCAAGATATAATTTATTTGACATTTTTAATATTACCTATAGTGCTAATCACTCTTCACATCTAATGTTCAATTATTCTAATTTATCATTATATATCGATTATCTTTGGCTTACCCCAAAATTAACCTTAAATATCCTAAATTGTTAAACCCTTCAAGTTGACTCCTCAATTTCTGATCATTCAATCATCACTGCCTCAATATCCAATTATTTAACCATCTCTAAAATAATTAATATAGTTCTCAAAAGCTCTTTTATCTATTCACGTATAGATAACAAATATTGAGTCAAGTTTATAATAAGATAGACAACATAACTAAGTATAATTCGCTTAATAACCTCAACAACTTGATATTATAGATTCAGTCTTCTTTAAACAAATTTTGGGATTTATTTTAAGATTCAATAATTACTACTACTAAATTCTGCATTTTAACCAGTAAAACTAGAATCTTATGTTAAAAGAAATGCTCTATGAATTTGCTTTTCATTTATAAAAATATTAGATTTTTATACAAATTCAACAAACTAATAAAATGTTGTCTTAATAATTACATTATATCTCCTGAATGGTTTACTTTTTATAACAAATTTATTTGCATTACTTATTTAAATAATTTGGATCTGATTGCACTTGATCTGAACTTTTCTATAGATCTTATTAAATCCATTTTTCTAAATACTAAACTTTTGTTAGCAAATCTCTATATTGAAGCTAAATTTAAAGAATAAGAATTCAAAATTAAAAGTATTTAAATGCTTTTTAATTGAGAATTGACGATTATAACACAAATTTTTTATACATGCTTGATTCAGTTTTAAATCATAAAAGAAGAGTCATTTTTCTTGATTGATGTTTGGATAATTCACAATCAGATTGACCTTTACTTTTCAAAGATGATAATATTAAACATGAAGTCAATAGATATTTTTAAAAAGTCACTAAAATTATATATAAAAACAAAACTATTTCTGATAATTAGATTTCATCTTATCTACTGATCGTTAATATTGATCTTATTATTTATAATTAACTCATATCTTTATCTTCAGCAGATGAATAGTACAGAATTATTACTAATTTACCAAATGACAAGGTGTCTAGTCTATCAAAGATCTCTAATAAAATGCTTAAATATATTAGTTCTGAAGTAAAAAAATACATTTAGTATATCATTTGTGATTACCTTTAAATTTTATCTGTCTTAGCGAGATAGAACTTGGTTTTTATCTATTTTATTCTCAAGCCTAAACCTTAAGAATATAATCTCAACAATACCAAACTAATCACTTTACTTGAATGTCTTAGAAAAGCCTTTGTTAAATTACTTAATATAAGACTAACTTTAACCTTTGTCTAACATAACATCCTAAAAGGCTTAAATTTTGCTAGTCTTTTATTCAAGTCAACTTTTAATCCAATTCATATTATCAAAAAAAAAAAAGAATACTATCACTAACAAATCTGAGCTGTAAGTTTTACTCTAAGATATATTTAAAGCATATAATAGGGTTAACATTTTTACATTAGTCAGAACCATAGAACAGCTTTGAATTTTATACAGTTTCATATACATCATCATCTGTATTTTTCTTCAATGTTATAATTAAGTTTTTATCTTATATAGTAATATAGATTCATATCTAGTTCATTCTAAAATAGATTAAGATGAAGTAATATTATTCTTATTGTAATATATCTATTATGACCTATTTTATACAAAGTTCAAGTTTCTATCTACAGTTATTCAATTAATTGTAAATGGTAATCAGATATTTATTCATTATATACTAATTCTTTATCAGTTAAAATACCTGCTTTTATATATATGAATAATACTTTATAGATTACTAAGTCAGTGAATGATTTATCATCTATTATCAAAATTGCCAACAGTTTTTATACTTTCAATAACATTCAAGTCAATTAGCCTAAATCAGAACTTTTGGTCAACACTTCTTAAACTGAAATATTTAATATTTGTGCTAATAATATAATATATTATATTACAACTTATAATCCAAAAGATAGTATCAAATACCTAAAGATCTGGATCTCACTGTTGAATAACAAACCTTTTGTTATCAATCAAATTCATGAAGAAGTTAAAACTGCAGATACTATTATGAGATAAAAGAAACTTACAAATAAACAATTAACTTATATTTTAATACAGCTATCCTTCTATATATGAAATATAAATCATAACTTACATTATCATTAGAATAATAATATTCTAAAATTGCTGCATCTTACATGACTTTTATTTAAAAAAAATTACAATTTTCTAGAAAATCCCATCAGTCTTATTCCTTTTGCATTACTTTTATAATATTATTCTACTTTACCAATAGTTTATACAAAATTTCAGTAATACACTTTTGCAAATATCTAATGAAAATAATATATTAAGCTTCTTCTTTAATATTCGAATAAGACATTTACAGAATAAAAAGTAGCTACATAAAAGTTATCTAGTTTTCTAACCTTTAATACTAGTAAGAAAAGTAATGATTAACTTCCAACTTTACTCAGTATACTTAATCAGCTCAAATTTTCAATTAACATATTAATCACCAAATGAATATCATCACCAAAAGCAATACCCCAATCTTGAACATTATCAAACTAATATATAGAGTACATGCTAAAGATCTAAAAAAATATTCTATCCTTTATGTTGAATAATTAGTCAACTATTTTAGTATCTACACATTTATATATAAAGACCTTTTCAACATTATCAATCAAAATACAAGATTTGTCAAATTATTGAAATGGTTCACAATTATGGAGCAATGTTTACAACCTTTACCAGAATACTTTATATCTTGCACAATTAGTTTTATGATTATAATATATAACAATCTAACTTTTCTTCTAGTAGTAAATCCTATATTATAGAATGGCTTAATACATTCAACAACTTTGTAATTGGAAAGATAACATAAGTAGAGAATGATATATTATACTTGAAATATTACATCTATGAAAGAGTTCCTGACTACTACATTTTAATCAATCTGTATTTTTGTTATTCTCTCCACCAAGAATCAGCGGCTGATTTAGATAAATTTAACTGTTATTTTACAATCCCTTGAGAATATTGCATAGCAGTTTTCAACAACTATAACTATGGTTCTAATTCTACTATTTTATCAATAAGTATACTAAATGAACTGGCTCTTACATGTGTAATAGCTTTATTAAATTCACAGTTTTTAAGAACTTCCTAACCTTATACTTCTCCAACTTTTATTTCTTTTATTGATAAATTTGTCACTTTTTCTTATAGAGACCAACTACTAAATTTTTCTTTTCAATTTAATATTGCTTCTAATTTAGATTTTTATACCAATAGTTTCTTATAGAATATTAGCCTTTCTTTAATTAATATGGTATCACTTGATTATAAACGCATCCTGATTCTCTAATAATTTTCTTTAATATTTTTTTTCACTAATTTCCCTTTTTCATCGCTACTTAAGTTTGCAGTTCTCTTTACAGCTCTTCTGACTGCTCTAAATAATTGCAGGGTGTTAATTTATACTGATTCTATAGTAGTCATTACACAATATAACAAATACAAGTTTCTCTTGAATTAGTCTTTAACTTTTAGACCTTTTTAAAAATCAATAATTCTATGCATTGATCTTGTCTTTTTGAAATAATCACAATAAACAATCTCAATGTCTTCCTAATCAAAGAAAAGTACATTCAGATGATATTTTTAATAACAAAGTAGATGCTCTTATATAAAATTTTCATAACACTCAAATCTTTCAACTCAATACACATAATACTTTTAAAAACTTTTACATTTATGATAGATCTCCAATTCTTATCCCTATATAATAATTTATTAAGAATATTTTTAAACACAAATACTTTTATCAGTTTCTTAATACACAAGTCACCTCTAAATATTTTATTTGCAGTTTTCATTAGTTTACTATCTCATTTAGTCTTAATGATAATATCGTATCCAACTACACATCTTACACAACCTTTATATATAAAACAAAAGAAATATCAATAGTTCCTTGAAATGTTGTCTATAACTAGAAGTTCTCAAAGTCAGACATCTATCATTATTCCCTTCTTTAACTCTTTATCTCTGATATAATATAGCTAATGAAGATTTTTATCACATCTGACTCTATCTTATGATCCATTATGAAAAATGAAAACAATCATCTAATGCTCAAAAGATTTTCTTAAAAACATTACCAATGCATCTGATTACTAATTAGAAACTTTGATTTTTGTTAAATATGTTAAAAATATTTTTAATACATAATAATAATATATTTAATATATACTTAAAATTTTTAATTTATTTAATATGTTTATAATATTTTTAAATTTTTAATATATGTTAAATTTTATATTAATTAATAAATATCATAAAAATATTATTGTAATATTGTATATATATTATTATAATATTTATTTATATATATAATTTTAAAATATTAATATAATATATTAAAAATATTATTAATATATAATAATTATATATAATTAAAATATTTAGTTTATTTAATTTATTTAATATATCTATAATATTATTAAAATATATTTATAATACTTTTAATATATGTTAAAATTCATAATTTGTATATATTTATTTATAAATATTATAAAAATCTTATTATAATATTACATTATAATCTTTATTTTATATATAATTTTAATAATAGTTTTATAATATTATTATTAGGTTATAATAATCTTTTTTAAAATATTTATTTGTAAAAGATAATATAAAACTATTATAAAATATTACTAGCAATAAGTATTATTAAATATTAGCTAATAAGTTAATAATTCTCAAATATGTAATAATTTTACTATTTCAAGTTTTGTCAGAATTGCTAAATCAACAGTATAATCATCACAACTTTTAATTGCAGTTTATGTATTTGTTTTGTTTGATTGAATAATTATAATAGCTTTAACAATTTGATATGTAAAAGTATCAAGTCTTTCAATAATAATAGGATTTCTTCTTAATATTTGTTGATCTGTTGCCTTTAGATGCAGATGAAATATTTGACACCATTTATCTTTACTAATAAATTCACTTAATTCACTATCAAATTTCCTATATTTATAATTAATTAATATTATTTATATATTTATTAAATTTTAATAAACTATGATACTTACCATTCATATGTTACTTTGAATTCATTAGCAAGTTTTACAATATATGTATGAAGTTTATAGCAATATGTATCATACCATCTATCAACATCTTTAATTCGTGTTTTGTATAATAACCAGACAAATCTATTAGATAAAAAAGGGGCAAAATTTGACGATCTTCTTAATAAAGTCAAAAAATTGATTTTTTTTAAGATATATGAAACGTCATCAAATTTGATCTGATCATTACACAAACTAAGCCACTTATATGTCAATACCTAAATTATATGTACAATAATTTTTTTGAAGACTTTTAAAGAGATAAATATAATATATACTTGTGAGCTAGTTGGATTCTAGCATCAAAATTTTTTACAGTTTTCGTTATTATACAAAATATTTATTACAAAGTTTGAAAAAAGCAACGTTTTATTTATATTTATTTATATTTTGGACATTTGAGCTACTATTGCTGCTTCTTAGCAGTGTTAACTTATATAACGAGATATTTAATTTCATATAGTCTCTAATTTCAGAACTTCTTCTTCTTCAATTACATCATTTTTCACATTTTGCTTTAGCTGAGTAAGCATACTTTCCGCAGTATGTCTTTCACTTTTGTTAACGTTACCTTCTAAAAAATATCCTTGTAGGAGATTCCACACTTCTTTAGAAATATGCTTACCACACCCTTTTTTTTCATATTTATGTGCTAATTTCAACGCTCATCCACAAGACAATGGCCACAATGAAAACTGTGAACTATGAATATTAAGATCGATGTCAAGTCATTATTTGTAATTTTGCAACCAAAAAATATATACCTTGAATCCAATATTATCTTGTTTTCAACCTTGACTGAACTTTTGTCTTTATCTGAGTAGGGATCGTGACTTGATGATGGGATCGATAGATATTTATCATTATCTGTTATTGATAATGGAGCAGAATGTTACAAACGCGAACAAAAACCTAAAAAATCACTTTTTATGCACCTGATATTTTCGCCAAGGTCTCTTCAGCCAATACTATTTCTAATTCCTTTACCAAATCTCTTTTATTAGTGTTCATATCCTTTACAATTCTACGAGTTTCTAGTTGTTCTTTTACATAATTTTTTTTAGTTTTTTTACCTGAATTCCTATATTTTATATTGAATCAGTTGCTTGTTTATCTGAAGATTATCATAGGCTAAATTAGGCTCACAAAACCTATATCATTTGGCAGTAGAATTGTCCATGTACAGTCAACTCTTGATATAGCGAACTCTTGATATAATGAATTTTTTAAACAAATATAATAAAAATACTCTTATTATAGCAAATTGGCCAATCAAATCTCTTAAAATCTTCACTATAGCCTTATAGCGAAGTTGAGGTCTAGGACATAGAGTTTGTTATAACAAGAGTTGACTGTATTCTCAGGTATTGAAGGTGTCGATACATTAGGATTTATTTTTCCAATTATTTTTGATTGTAATTTCTCTAAATCTTTTGAAAAAAATTTTTTCCAGACGTCAAGATTTGCAATATCTCTTGCCTGAATATAACCAGCATATTTACCAATGAGAGGTCATGACCATTCAAACCAACTTGAAATTTTGGGTAATTTATTTTTGGCTTTTCTAACTTCTGTAAGAAAGACAGTTTGAAAATTTGCTAATAATTTGACTGATTTAATTTGATAAAATATCACATACCTTTCTTTCTATCCGGTTCTAGATGAGATACAGATGTTCCACAAATTCCAGATATTGCATCCTCAATATCCTTTCCCGATGATATATTAAACCCCAATTTTACATGCTGATTAATAGCATAAGCAATCTATTCAAATGTGAGGACACAATGTGAAAGTGGGAGTTTGAGGACTGAAGGTCTGACCCCCTACTGAAACATTGTGTGTGTGGGTCACAGACCATTAAAAACAATATCGATTATTTTTATTATATTAGAAAAGCTTCTAACGGCTCTAGAATCTTAATTTCGATATTATAT